GGGATTAAAACACACATCTCTTTAAAATACTCTTTCAAACTCTGCTGTTATTTTTACTCTGGCAGCTGGGTTTACTCCCCCCCCCTCCATTTTTTTAAAGTTCTCATCCTCAAAATGTAATCAAGACAGACGGCTGTGTTTTAGCACGCTTACAAGTGACAAACATTGGAATAAATTAAAGAGGTATTTACCATCAGTTGATGGCTTCTACTTTGTTACGCTGGCGCTCAATGAACAAATGCCACTTTCCATTAGCATCACAATTGTGTCCGCCTTCCATTAGTCTGACAAAATGTGTTAATTCAGTCATGATCACAGTTTACTGCTTTTTCCTTTTTTTAAAAAAAAAAAAGAGTTTTAATGAGTTTGTTTTGTCACGTCGTCGTGTCTTTTCCTGTATTTTCACGCTGCGTTGCAGCTTCATAAGACACCTGAAGTGTGAGCGCATATAAATGAACATATTTGCTTCCTTTTTTTTTTTTTGCAATTTCTCTTTCTTTCCCCCAACCCCTCGAACCGAACTCAGATGTTCCCCATCATTGTGCACCATGCAAAAAGCCTCATGAAAAATATCCAAGCAAAAGCGGAGAGGGAAGAACTGCTGGACATTAAAGAGTGAGTAACTGCCTGCTCTTGAGCTCTTGAGATGCGGTGGCTCAAGTGGTTAAGACGCTGAACTGCAGGCTGTGGATGGTCAGTAGTTCAGCAGTTCGAGACCCGGGTTGCCGTATGATGGAGTGAGCTCCCGTCTCTAGTTCCAGCTCCTGCCAACCTAGCAGTTCGAAAGCAAGACATTGCAAGTAGATAAATAGGTACCACTTCGGTGGGAAGGTAACAGCGTTCCGTGCGCCTTGGTGTTCAGTCATGCCGGCCACATGACCATGGAAACGTCTTCGGACGGCGCTGGCTCTTCGGCTTTGAAACGGCGATGAGCACTGCAACCCTAGAGTCGGATTCGACTGGCTTTCGAGCAAGGGAACCTTTTTACCTTTAACTGCCTAATACGGCAAGTCAAGCGTCTCATTCATCATTGGGGGGGGGGACGACCATAGGCTGCTTTGGGCAGGTGGGGAAGATGTACTTCTCCAGGTGATGGATGGCTCCACCTGGAGAACTAGGCAGAAAAAGGAAAATTTAGGAGGACTAGGAGTGGAAGCTGGTGGAATAGCCCTGGGGGGGGGGAGGAAATGACGGAGAGCCACTGAGGCCTCCTCCATTGATGGCAAAAACAAACTGATCTGTTTTGGATTCCCCCCTTCTCTTCTCCCATTCCCCGCCTCTGTACAGCCTCTTCGGCGCCTACAGCATGGACGTCGTCACCAGCACCTCGTTTGGCGTGACCACCGACTCCATGAACAACCCCAAGGACCCCTTTGTCAAGGAGGCCCAGAAGCTCGTCAAGTTTGATTTCGCTTCCCCGCTCTTCGTTTTGTTGTGTGAGTGGTCCTGGCGACCCCTGAAATCTGTACTTGCGGTCTATAGCCACTGGGCTTCCCTTCCTCACGGGGTTTTCGAAATCATTTGCTGCGGGGGGGGGGAGAGGATATCCAGTAACTGGTGGAATAAGGGAGGTAAGTGTGACCGCGATTATCCCGATCAAATATAATCCGGTTAGAACCGGAGCAGTTTAACCCGCTCTCAGCGTGCCGTCTGACCACACCCAGCGAGTTTCCACAAGTTCTCCAGTACACCAGCCAACAGACCACACAGATCTCTTTAACGAAGCATGCCATCCAAATCAACTTCCATTAGAATGAAGGGTCCAGGTGTTGCACCCATTTAATGTTCTTCTGACCGATGTCCCTTCCCACTTTTTGCTAACAGGATGTAGAGACAACTTCGATGGATAGCGTGCCCTTCTTATGACGCTGCTTTCTTCCCTCTCCCCTAGACGTCTTCCCATTCCTAACTCCTCTGCTGAGGAAGATGGGCATGAGCATTTTCCCCCGGGACGCCACCAAGTTCTTTGCCAAATCAGTTGCCAAAATCAAGGCGAATCGGGAGAAAGGGAGTGAAACGGTAAGAGCAAGAAAGAAGGGGCCCCACCCCATCTCCACAGCCTTCTCTTCAGTTAATGCTGATACAATATTCAGAATGGAGAACGAAGCACAGTTCTGACAGTACAAAGCGACATTGGCTTGTCTGCGTCTCAAGGTTTCCGCTCCACATCCGCCTTATTTCTCAAGGCTGGAGATTCTGCAAGTTGATAAAGGGCAGGCAGGACAAAAGGGGTGGCTGGCGGGGACTCGAACCCTGCAGCTGGGAGTCTATTAGCAGTTACATTTTAACAGCCAGGCATGGCAAGGTGGCATAGTGGTTAGTGTCAAGCAAGGATCTGAGAGACTCTGGTTCGAATCTCCACTCTGCTAAGGAGGCTTGCTGGGGGAGCTTGGGCCAGCCACACACGCTCAGCCTAACCTACCTCCCAGGGTCGGAGTGACGATAAACAGGAGAATGACTTAAACCACTTTGGCTCCCCATAGGGGGTGTGTGCAGAGTATAAATGAAGTACATAAGAAAGAGTTGGTTCCCGTATGGATAGGAGATCTGAACAAGGGGCCCGCTCATAGCTACAATTTAGGAGAATTCAAGGTTTGCAAAAAACCACGACTTTTTTAAAACAGTAGAGCTGTAAGAGCCCCCTTTCCCCAAATAGTAAGAGCACAGACATAATAGAGATTGGAGCGGTTTGGGAGATTCCAAGCTGGCCTGGCAATCCTATGGTACAGTAATTCCAATATTAAGGTTCAACCCCTACGGGAATGTAAACATTTTGCTCAAGTGGTGTGTATGGATGGTTATGGGAGATCGTTGGTTTTAGTTAATGTTTATTTCCCTCCGGCACTGAATAAGGAGGTCTTGCTACAGCACTGGGAGTGTTTAAGCGAGTTCTTGGAACGCCTAGAACAGGATGAGCCGACCAGGGAAATTATCTTGGTCGGAGATTTTAATGCAAGAATAGGGCAGAGTGGGGTAGAACTGGCTGATAGAATAGGTATTAATCCTGACGAGCTACCATCAGGATGCCTTTTTGACCTAAGATGCTCCAAAGATTCATTTATTAATGAGGCGGGCATTCAGCTTGCCCTCTTCACTTTGAGATTTAACCTAATCATTTTAAATGGTCTACCTCCCTTTGACTCTCATGGGGATTATACGTTTGCTTCAGCCCGAGGAAGCAGTGTAATTTATTACATAATGATCTCATCGTCACTTTGGGACGAGGTGAGAGCATTCTCAGTGATTGGCCGGCCTGAAAGTGATCACTTTCCATTGGCCCTCCTTTTCAATTCAACTTTCACTGCCGTAGATCCTGAGCTTCAAGGGGATGATTCAAGAGAGATAGCCCATAGTATTCCTAGGATTCGTTGGTCTGAGGAAATGGCCTGGAAGGCTGCTGAGGTCTTGAAGCCTCAATGCCTGGAAAAGTTTTTACATTTAGCAAAGGAACCAAATGGGACCGTAGACCTGATTCAGGCCTATGATTCTATCATAATCCAACTTGACATAATAGAGAAAAAAAAACTGATCTGCTTGCATGGGACCTCTCCGCAGAACTTTGTGCATGTCACCTTAAGAATATGAAGGCAGGGGATCAATAATTCATACAGTGATAGATCAGCCACTCTGCACATGCACAGAGGCCTCCCGGGCTCATGCAATGCCACCACGTTGTCACGCTATGTTAACCTCTACCCACAAGACTGGGACTTCCTAGACCATGGCTGATCTCCCCCACCCCCGCCTCTATCCTGCACTGGACTGCCTGACACCATTCCACCAGGTTTAGAGATCTGTAGCCAGGCATCAAGATGAAATTCAGTGGCATCCTTAGCGATACCTCTTTCCCAGAAGTAGATGTCACTGGAATTAATTCACTGGTCTCTGAAGAAGAGGAGCTGCGGTGGCTCAAGTGGTTAGGACGCTGAACTGCAGGCTGTGGAAGGTCGGTAGTTCAGCAGTTCGAGACCCGAGTTGCCGCATGACGGAGTGGGCTCCCGTCTCTAGTTCCAGCTCCTGCCAACCTAGCTGTTCGAAAGCAAGAAATTGCAAGTAGATAAATAGGTACCACTTCAGTGGGAAGGTAACAGCGTTCCGTGCGCCTTGGTGTTTAGTCATGCCGGCCACATGACCACGGAGACGTCTTCGGACAGCGCTGGCTTTTCGGCTTTGAAACGGAGATGACCACCGCAACCCTAGAGTCCGACTCGACTGGTTTTCGAGCAAGGGAACCTTTACCTTTATCTGAAGAAGTGAGCGCTCATCCCCTGCCACGTGTTTTGTTAGTCTTCAAGGTGCTCCTGGACTCTTGCTCTTTTCTGCTGGAATTAACAGGAAGTCCTCCTGAGCAAGTATTGTTCTTCTCTTCTCTGAGTGGCAGGATATCCTAAGCTGTCTGCTGATTCCTCTTCTGTTGTTTCTGTTCCCAGAGGAGAGTGGATTTCTTACAACTGATGATCGACTCCCAAAAATCAAACACCACGAATGGGAGCAATGGGGTAGCTCACTCCAATAAAGGTAATACTCACGAATTATCCACAGCTGAATGGGAATCAGTGAGGTCTCAAATCCCCTAATCTGCTTTCGTTGCCAGGCTGTATCTACCTGGGCATCTACCTGTGTCCACATGGAGAGTTTGGTCCCGTTTGGTGTCCAAACTGGAGTGGATTAAAAAAAAAAAAAGGCATCCACAATTTGTCCCGTAATTTCTGGCTTTTCCCTTTCTTGGTTGCAGTCTTGTCCAAATCGAGTTTGGGACAATCATTTTGGAAAGGTCACAATCAAAGTATGTTAGCATGCCATCTGGATGGGAAGGGGAGTAGTTTTATGGGTCCCATCCACACTGGTACTGTTGTGCTTGACTCAGCACCCCATGGCTGTCCTTTTCTATTTGTCATCATGGGAATTAAAAAAAAAAAGCAAAGCAGCTGACATATTGCTATAGTGTCATAATGATGTGAGAATGGTGTTATAACACTATAGCGCTGTAATAATATGTACTAGTTCCTCTGTATTTCCAGCTTCTGTACGTTGCAGAGGTATGGCTTTTTATTTTTTTTAAGTTGAAGGCTGAAACGCAGAGGACCTAGTAGATGGGTCATTATAATGTTATAACGCTACAGCAATGAGTTAATTGCAGATTTCTTTTTTAAAAAAACCCTCTGGGGCTGGGGGGAATGGCAGTCTTGTGGCAGGGGGCCAAGGCGAGGAAAACTGCCCTGTGGTCATTTCGTTGCTGCTGTGGCAATGAAAGCTACACAGGGAACCATTGCCCTGTCAAAGCGGCCTATGAAATAAAGCAAGAGATTGTAAGAGCATCTGCAGCAGACGTGCTGCTTAGAAAGGGTAGAGGCGAGTCTCCCTTAACCAATTGAGCGTGGGACTAGATCTCCCAAGCTCAAATCCAGACTCTGCCATGAAGCTTGCTGGGTGATCCTGGGCCAGTCGCCCTCTTTCTCTCAGCCTAGCCTACATTGCAGGGTTGTCAGAAGGAACAAATGAGGAAGAGGACCAGGGCTATTTTGGGGCAGAAACGCACAGGAACGGAGTTCCGGCTGGCTCCTGAGATGGCCACGCCCAGCAGGAACTCATTAGCATAATAGGCTACACCTAACAGCAGACACTCATTAGGATGGGCTACATTAGGGGTGTGTGGCCTAACATGCAAAGGGTTCCTGCTACAAAAAAAGCCCTGGGTTTTGACAACAAACAAGGTAAATAGAATAAGAAGCAAAAGGTGGGTGTGGCTGGATGACCACACTTCTGGTAATGTGGGGTGTGTGGCCTAATATGCTAATGAGCTGCCATCTCAGGGTGTGGCCTAATAGGCTAATGAGTTCCTGCTGTTGGGTGTGGCCTATTATGCTAACGAGTTCCTGCTGGGCTTTTTCTACAAAAAAAAAAACCCTGGAGAGGACTATGCACCCTGCTATCAGCTTCCAGGAGGAAGGGAGGGTTAAAAAATTACTAGAAAGCCAGATAAGAGCACAAGCTTTGCACGCAGAAAGTCCCATGTTCGGTCTTCAGCTCAAGCTGTTGGCAAATGACTTCTGCCTGGCAGAGCGGACAGTTCCAAACTATGCAAACTGGGGGGGGGACCACACCCCAAGTTATTCAACAGGGGGGAAACTCCAAAGGTATCCCAAGCGGGGTTTGTGAGTGCAATAAAGAAAAACAAGGTATAATGAACTGGTCAGCAAACATAGCAATTTTGGCAGGGCTCCTTCGATGGCATACTGAGAGCATTTGAAAATAATACCAGGAACAGGGGTCTACTTCCACCCTCTAGCCTTGCCTCTGTTACATGGAAGGAGGTAAAGACCATCTTTGTATCCACAACTGTGATGCAGGCTGCTTGCTTTCCGATTCCAGCCTTCACCTCTCTCTCCCTTTCCTTTGACAGCTTTGACCGACAGCGAGATTCTGGCACAAGCGATTATCTTTATCTTTGCGGGATATGAGGCAACCAGCAACATCCTCGGTTACCTGGCTTACGAATTAGCGATCCACCCTGACGTCCAGCAGAAATTGCAGGAGGAGATCGACTCAGCTCTGCCCAATAAGGTACAGTAGGGCTAGACAGGAGCGTCAGTGGATCTCCTTCAACTGCACCCCTTATGCGTCACTGCCAAAAAGAAAACAGATGTGAAGCCAGTTGTGTTTTAGTCAACCTCCCCCACCTCCAAGTCTGCAACTTTACTTCCTCTTATTTCTGCTGGTTTGGTAACTGCAATAGCACCTTGTGGCCATCTCAAGTGGTGGCGCTGCTGTGCATCACAAAACAGGTCAACTGGCCCAGTGGCACAGAGAGGAAAACACCTCAGTCCTGCCGCTAGAGTCCCCAGCTTGGGACCCCGGGTGTGTCGCAGCAAGAGAAAGGTTCACCCACTCCCCTTCCTCATACACAGTGGCAAACTTTCTCATAACGTTCTGTCCTAAAGGCTCCTCTTACCTATGAGGCCGTCATGCAAATGGAATACCTTGACATGGCAGTGAACGAAATCCTCCGGCTGTACGCGCTTGGCGGGCGGATTGAAAGGCTGTGCAAGAAAGACGTGGAGATAAACGGCATCACCATCCCAAAAGGGACGGTTGTGATGATTCCACCGTATGTCCTGCATCTTGACCCAGAATATTGGCCGGAACCCAAAGAATTTAGACCCGAAAGGTAAATAATGGGATCAATATTTTGTATTTCTTTCCATAGCCCAACAATGGATAGCTAGTATCCATGTCCCATACCAGTCCATGTACCTGGTCCGTGAGCACATGGGGTTTTTGGACTGTGATTCTAAACAGTACCAGGTTTTCCCCCCCCCCCCAATCTTTGGTGAAACCAGCTTGTCTTCTTTCCGTGACCAGTCTCTCTTCCTGAAGTCTGTTTGCCCATTTTTTAAACATATATTTATTTATTAAATTTTTATTATACAATCCTGCTCGAAAGCTGCAGCGGAAGCCCGAGGCGTCCGCTTTTCGCCCATTTTTTTCCCGAGCGTCGGCAGTGTGCGCATAGACTGAGCTCCACTCCCACATTTATAAAACCGACGTTTAAACGGTCACTCGTTTTAGCATTTAGATGAGTTTGGGATCTCACGGAGGCCATTTTCAGGTCAAAAGTTTAAAGGGAAGTCTTTCGTTGGAGGGGTTGGATTGATTCGCCCTGGTGGTTCTGCGCATGCGCCATGATAGTTTCCCCCCATTCTACGGATGAGCGCCTATGCGCATGCACAGAGAGAAAAAATTTTAAAAAACGCCGACACACACTCCCACGTGTCAGTAGTGTAGACACTGGGGAGCGATGTGACTGCGTGGTGAGGCAGGATAAGGGAGGTAAGCAGGGGTCGTTTCGTAGGCAATGTTCCCTCTAAGCTGTCAAGTCTTGTGAGCAGAAATTCTACTTTGTGAGCTACTGGCATTAAAATTGTGAGCAAGCAATTTGGCTACTGTATAAATTAGTTTGCTCTGTAGCCATCCTTCCTGAGCTAAGACAAAAATGTGTGAGCCAGAGGCTAAAAAAATGTGAGCTAGCTCACACTAACTCAGCTTAGAGGGAACACTGGTGGGGAGAGGCAGGGAGGAAGCAACTTACCCTCCCCTCTTCTCCTGCCTCCTCCTGGCTGAATGAGGGCTGGAAGCGGGGCGGCCGGAAGCAGGGGGCGGGGCTTCGTCATGTGCCCCGCCCCCGTACCTCACCCGGGGGAACTGCGATCCCCCCCGAAATGACCTCTGGAGGTAAGTGTGATCGCGATTCTCCAGATCAAAGATAATCGCATCAGAACTGGACCAGTTTAAGCCGCTCTCAGCACGCCATCTGAATGCACCCTTGGTCTTCAGAAGCACTTCTGTCTCCACCGAGGTGCATGAAAGCCAAGATTGGCTTTTTGCTCTGTGGGGGGGAAGCAAGTGGACCGGAAACACATTGGTTGGCACCACTTTGGGGGGACGCCACCTTTAGTGTTCGTGTTTTTCTTCTTGTACAGGGTAATATTTTCGTATTCAGTGGCCACTCAGATTCCAAGGCCCTATGCTGTAGCTTACCTAGGTTGTGCATCAACCCAACTCTGCTAAATTTAAGACGTATAATGAAGGGATTAATCAGGGGGTGTGTCTGTAAAGATTGAATTGCCATCTCAGTGTCCCAAAGGGACTGTTTTGAAAGGGATGGAGAGGGGTCCCCTCAAATTTTGCCTTTCATTTTATTGCCTCGTGCAAAGCTAATGGGTGCCGGCAAACGCCGGGCGTGCTAGAGAAGAGGCAGGAGAACAACCACCTTCCCGGCCAGCAAGCAGGAAAAAATAGCATCACACCAGTATAAAGAAAGACGGCATCAAGACTGCTTTAAAAATGAAATGCAGATTCGGCCTTTGACTGGCTGTTCTGACAGGGCAGGGCATGGAGAATTCATGCCTGATATACAGATCTGTGCAGGGGTCATTTCCTGCAGGAGCGCACAGGAGCGAAGCTCCGGCAGTAAAGAGCCCAGGGGGCGGGCACATGCAACAAGCCCCACCCCCTGCTCCCAGCAGCCCCAGGCCACGAGGCGCCTACGCCAAGGTTTATTCAGGTACAAGCTCTCCCTCCTCTCCTAGGGCAGATCTGTGCGTCCCCCCCCCCATAGCTAGCAATCCAAAACAGTCCAGTGGAGCCTGAGCAGTGGGTGTTGCCTTCTGACACACTTCCGGTGATGCCTATGCTAATGAGTTATGCTAATGAGCTCCTGCACCTCTTTTTCCACGAAATGACCCCTGGATCTGTGGGATCCTGATAGTGAATTTGTACCTTATATTATTATGAGACCAGCTAGCCACTTCATGTGTTGTAAATAACAAAGCCTACTTCTTCCGCTCATTTGTCTGGAAACAGGTTCAGTAAGGAGGTGAAAGAGAAAATAGATCCCTACGTGTTCTTGCCTTTCGGAGCTGGTCCCAGAAATTGCATTGGAATGAGGTTTGCCGTCCTTGTAATGAAGACGGTTATCGTCGATCTGCTGCAGCATTTCCACTTCAAGCCCTGCAAGGAAACGCCGGTGAGAGACCTGGATCGATTTGTGCTTATCTAGACAGAAGACAGCCGGTCAGAATTAGGTCACGCTTTCCTGCTGCAGCAGAGACACGGTGTGCAAAGAACGTCTTCTCCTGAAGACGGCGTGTGGTGAATTTAACCCCCTAGAGCAGTGGTGGTGAACCTTTTAGAGACGGAGTGCCCAAACTGCGACCCAAAATCCACTTATTTATCGCAAAGTGCCAACACGGCCATTTAACCTGAATACTGAGGTTTTACTTTAGAAAAAACAACTCATACATTAACTTAAGATGATCCAAACAAAGTAAGGAAAGCAATCCCAAATGCTTTCATTGACTTAAAATTATTTGGCAGAGAATTCGACACTTTCATGATGGTCTGGGCCTGGCTGGGGCGATGGCACGCGTGCCCACAGAGAGGGCTCTGAGTGCCACCTCTGGCACCCGTGCCATAGGTTCGCCACCACTGCCCTAGAGGGAATGCCACATTATATTGACATGGGCAACTCCGACCTGCGGTGGCTCAAGTGGTGAAGACGCTGAACTGCAGGCTGTGGAAGGTCAGTAGTTCAGCAGTTCAAGACCCGAGTTGCCGCATGATGGAGTGAGCTCCCGTCTCTAGTTCCAGCTCCTGCCAACCTAGCAGTTCGAAAGCAAGAAATTGCAAGTAGAGAAATAGGTACCACTTTGGTGGGAAGGTAGCAGCGTTCCGTGCGCCTTGGTGTTTAGTCATGCCGGCCACATGACCACGGAAATGTCTTCGGACAGCGCTGGCTCTTCGGCTTCGAAATGGAGATGAGCACCGCAACCCTAGAGTTGGATTCGACTGGCTTTCGAGCAAGGGAGACCTTTACCTTTACCTTTTTAACCAATCATCTCCAGTGCTTTACATCTCCCAGAAAACACTGACCGCCTGGCTTCTCTGTATGATCCCTTTCCCCCTCTGTTTTAATGTCCTAGATCCCTCTGGTGCTGACATCGAGAGGATTCACAAGACCGGCCAAACCTATCATCCTGAAATTTGTTCCCAGAGTCGGCCCCACGCAGTAGTGGCGTTTCTGTCTAACAACTCCTTAAGGGACGCAGCGATACAGTTCTGTTGTTTTGGACTCTGGACTTAAAGAGTCCCCCTTGTATACATCAACCACAAAGCTTCAGGCTTTTTGGGAGGGGCTCTTCAGCTGAATCCAGGCACCGGGGCCCGGGACTTCCACCCCAAAAACTGGCCCTAACAGGACCATGGAGGGAATATTATCTCAGCTACGGCACCAACGGATCTGCTGTTTGCACATCGCTTCTTGTTTGTCTTTCGGGCATGACTACAGCTCGGGGGTACTTTACAGAAAGCCCCCCTCCATCCCTTGCCACAGGATCACATGAACATCTCAGTTCAAACAACACTGTTGGGCCGTGAGAGTGTGTGTGTGCATGTGATATTATGTGCATGCTTTTCTACTGTACATGTATGCAATCATGCCCAGGATTGTGGCAGAAATCAGAAGCGAGAGATAGATTTTGCTCACTCTGTTCCGAAGCGGGTCTTGCTTGCATGTGCAATACTTATTCCATAGGGCTGGGTTGGAACAGAGAGGGGGGGGAGGGATTTCCTTTATGGGCGCTTTCGTCACACTGAAAGGGCCAGGAGAAAGGGGCCGTTTGTAAACGTTTTAAATAAATGCACAGATAAATAAAAGTACTCGTGTCCTTCTCTGATTTCTCCCCCTCGCCAGGTATTGCCATGGGGTTGCCAGCTCTGGGTTGAGAAAGGCCTGGCTATTTGGGGGTGGAGCCCTGTGGAGGGCGGGGCTTGGAGAGGGGAGGGACCTCAGCAGGATAGACGGCCATGAAGTCCACTCTCCAAAGCAGGCATCGTCTCAAGACTGCAACAGCACAGACATTCCGATGCAACAATTCAGAGCGAGAGGTGTCAGTTCTCAGATGCTGTTAAATATAAACAAAACATTGCAAGAGTGCAAATGTTATAAGCATGTTTTTATTTTAAGTAAAAAAACCACCACCTCTTTGTGTTCGTGTCCTTTATAAAGTTTATATCTCCGCTACCTGGCATGACATTTTATGACACACGTGGCCCGGCCCAAGGAGGTCTCGTTTATGTCAGATCCGGCCCTCATAACAAATGAGTTCGACACCCCTGCCTTATCGACTAACAAGATATATGGACCAGCTCTCCATATCTATCTACTCTAGGGTGGCCAGGCGATAGAGATCTGTTCCCCTGGAGAAAATGGCTGCTTTGGAAGGTGGACCAAACCCTGCGTCCTCAGACTCCACCCCCCAAAATCTTCCCCACCCGAAGGTGGCAACCCTAGGCGCGGCCTCCCCTTCTTGAGGTGATGCTTGGACCTGCCATTGAGGGTCAAAAACGCAGGCCGCGGGTCTTGTTTCTTACATCAGCTGGGCAGCAATTTTTTTCAAGGCCAAAGGGATGGATTGGGCCTGACTCCACCGAGGCCCTTTTAGAAGCAGATGAAGCAGATTCACGGTTCTTTCAAGACACTGGCTAAACAGAAACTCCACATTCAGAAATAGCATACCGCAGGGGACCATCACTACAAGAGAGCTGTCATCTTCACGACTCGCCTAAAAATTTCCTTGGCACTGCTTCTGTAAGAAGCTGGAGGAGGGACTCTGTTTCAGTGGAGGTGGTTCTTATGAGGTGTTTTCAATTCAGGAGACCTATTTCCGGATCAGAGATCGGGATGCCAGCCAGTGTAGGTGGAGACACTGGAAAGCAGAGACAATTAACACTATACGCAGGATTTCGTGCACGACAGTACGATAGGGTTGCCAAGTGTTATTTTCGCTGCAGCGGGGGACTCCCGCATCCACGTCACCCGGAAGTGACGCGACCGCGCTGGGATTTCGTGCACGATGGTACGATAGGGTTGCCAAGTGTTATTTTCACTGCAGCAGGGGACACCCGCATCCACGTCACCCGGGAGTAACGCAACCATGCCGGGCACGCTGGGGCAGGGCCACGACCATCCGAGCGAAAACCATAGACTGACGTGCACGTCGGGGTGGGGTTCCCCCCAGGGCCCGATCCACCGGTGGTGGGGTACGGGCCTCTGGGGCGGGGGTTTCTTCGCCCCCCGGGGGGACTTGGCAAGCCTACGGTATGATCAGAGGAAAGGGCAGGCCTTGTCCTGTTGCTTGACACGGTTGTTCCTGTTCACCTCAGGTTTTTCATTGGTCGTGGATTGAAATTGGTATTGTGTTTGAACTTAGGTCAGGCATACAGGTGGATAAGGGTATGCAAACAGCAATGTTTCAGTTGCTGTGTGCCCAAGATAACGCTCGAGGCAAGAAAAGGACGCCTTGCAGGAGAGAATGTGTATTCACTTCTGTTTCTGTGTTCCAGGCAACACGCGGTCTATGAAAGCATATTTTCATTGTCCTTGCCTTGCTCCCCGTTCCTGATTTGGAGATTGTTACAAGCTTACGCAGGGCTGGTTCTCTGGCCAGGACACCATGCTTGGGGTGGCCCCATAGGAACCCAGTTTGGCCCCAGCCATAAGTGTCCAGGGAAGGGGTGGTGGTGGCAACACTGGCCGCAACACACGTCCAGGAAGTAGTTGGTGCATTGGGTTGCCAGGCTCTCAGCTGGCCAACAGGGCACCAAAATAGCCCAAAAAACAGGGGTGGAGGGTCAGCAGCGTCCCAGCATGCTGACATCGCTCCCCATGAGCCCGGAAGTGACGTAAGCACATCACCGAGGAGCCTATTCCACGAAGAAGAAGTCGAAGAAGTCAAAGAAGTCGAAGAAGTCGAAGAAGACGAAGAAGACGAAGAAGACGAAGAAGACGAAGAGGTGGTGGTGGTGGTAGTGGACATTGGATTTATACCCCGCCCTTCACTTGGAGTCTCAGAGCAGCTTACAAACTCCTTTCCCTCCCCCTCCCCACAACAGACACCCTGTGAGGTCGGTGGGGCCGAGAGAGCTCTTGACAGAAACTGCCCTTTCAAGGACAGCTCTGGAAGAACTATGGCTTGCCCAAAGTTATCCAGCAAATGAACTGCCAAGAGAGACTTCAAGTCAGGAAGTGTGACTTCTTGGTCAGTTTGTATTCCATTGCATACCTGCTTTAGAAATTAAACCCCAGAGGTTGTGGGATGGTTGACAGATTAATAGTTGTGTTTTATGTGCATCTTCGATACCTTCCTGCTATTTTGTAAGTGTTACTTTTTAGGCATGTCTAATGCATGTTATAATTAAAATGGTTAAGATATTAATGTTTCAACAATTAGGCAATAATAGAACTCCATATTAATGCTAGTTTACTAACATTTACTAATCTCTCTCTCTCTCCCCCTCTCCCTTTGCTGCTGTATTAAGTTTTAAAGAACTTTTTAAAAGAAAGGGGGGGAGAAATTTCTACAGTAAATGGAATGTTTTAGCAGGTGGAAACAATTGAAGCTTGCCAACTCTGGGTTGAGAAATATCTGGACCCTGAGGAGGAACAATACCATAGAGTCCAACCTCCAAAGCAGACACTTTCTTTAGGCAAATTAGAGACAGTTTGGTGTAGTGGTTAAGTGTGTGGACTCTAAACCGGGTTTGATTCCCCACTCCGCCACTTGCACCTGCTGGATGACCTTGGGCAAGCCATAGTTCTGTCAGAGCTGTTCTTGAAAAAGAGCAGTTTCTGTCAGAGCTCTCTCAGCCCCACCTACCTCACAGGGTTTCTGTTGAGGGGAAGGGGAAGGAGTTTGTAAGCCGCTCTGAGACTCCTTTGGGTAGTCAAGGGTGGGGTATAAATCCAATCTCTTCTCTTCTTCTTCTCTCTGTCACCTGGAGATCTCTAGCCACCACCCGGAAGTTGGCCACTAATGCAAGCCTATCCTTACAAATGAGACTTTCTCATTTGTATTAAAACCCACACACACACACACATTATGCCACTACTGATAGGGCCCTAGTGAACATGATGTTTTGTAGACCTATTTGAGCCCAGGAGGATTGGCTGAAACCAAATGCATGCCGCTGGATTGGTCACGAATACTAGTTTATTGCACGTGCCAGAAATTGTGATTCAGGCGTCAACCATCTTCTC